TTGTTTGTTTTTTTTAATATTATTTCTAAAATTATACATTAAACAGAAGACAAGAGCGCTGACAATTGACAACAGTGTTTCTATTCAGAGTGACATATTATGGAGATCCAAAAAATAGAACAACAATATGTGTAGGAATAGTTCTAGAAATTGTTTACTTAAACCCAAACAGTGTTCAATAACCAAATAGTGGAAATAAATATTTATTGATTTGAAAACTCTATGATTAAAAGCTCTCAGCATTGTTTCACCATACAGGATGGGTTTTTTATATGTGCAATTGTGTGTGGTCCTCATACCGCCTGTATATTTCAACATAATATAGAAAATCGTAACTACTAGTACCTTTATTTAAAACTTCTGTGTGTGCCGCAGTCATTAGTTCAGAGGACTACCACGGTCTTCCCATAGTCCTGCTACTGCCCCTCAACGTGGTGTCCTCCGCAGCTGTATTTTAGTGTACGCACGGCTTTTGACAGCTGTAGCAGTGCTCAACCGACCAACAACGAATAGGTTTATTATCGCCACGATCGCAGCAGTGGTGAGAAAAATCATATAGCTACTGCTTTAAGGATTACATTTATTGTGGGTTACTTTTAAACCACATGATAAATGAGGGACCACTGTACATTGAATACAAAATACTACTACCACTACTACTATATCTGTGTACATTTAAGTGCAGAAATGTTACACTTCGGCCCTGATCTCACCCTTTGTATGAATTAATAGCAATTTTGAGAATGAACACATATTGAAGTCCCTTTTTTTCCAATGCGATCATACATTTTCTTTCTTTTCCATTGATGCCAGCACTATTATAAAGGCAATTACTCTTTTATTCGCAGGCCTGCATACCGAGGCGCTCCTCTGCTGTGCGTACAGAGTTTGGCCTCTTGCAAAAATATACACGTCTCTGTGATGAAACCCAATCCAGGCCTGAAAGCACTTAACCCTGTGGGACTGGACATGTGTGTGTTTTTTTGTGTGTGAGGGTTTTTTTCTTGTATGTGTGTGTGAGCGTGTGCGGGGGAGACAGATATTATGCATTATTTGAGTTTTTTTGGGCTTATAAACATGATCTTGAGAAATTTTTTGGGGGTACGTGTTTGCCAGAAGTGCTGTATACAGTAGAAGGGTGGATGGAAACCAGGTACAGTGGCTTGTAAAAGTACTCATTCACACATTGCACATTTGAAGTTGAAAGTAAAATCTTGCACGATTTCAGTCACAAATGCACTAGGAGTGAAAAAAAACCTGCCCTGCTATTGCCACTTTTTTATCGTACATAATTATATCCCGCACAGACTATTATTTACCTTGAACATGCACACTTCTGTCTTTTGCACAATCTGAGTGATTCATCCAGTGTGAGATCAACAAAGTCTATCTTATCTTATCTTATTGTGTTGAAAAGAGACTGAAAGTGTTGCCCACTCGTCCTCACAAAACAACCCAGGCTCTGTCAGATTAGATGAGAGAAATTTTCACTTGGATTAACAGTGAGGGAAAGTTAGGGAATTTTGCAAGACATGTTTTCTTAAAAGCCATTTGCAATTCACCCCCTCCTGGAAAATTAGACCATGCTGTGAAATTATAGTGAATGGTTAATATTTGAACGATGTTTGTTTAACCTAAAGTGTTGCCCGGACTGCCCTGAACTGTGAGGATGGAGTGAACTCAGTTATTTTGTCACAGAACAATTTGGGAAATTATGGGAAAGTTGGTGGACTTATAAGAAGGCCTTTAGCTTTACCTCTTAATTCACCATTTAATTTAGATTAAAAAACCAAAACTAACATCCATAGTTTTGGTTTGATCTAAATTAAAAGCCATGTTTAGGTATTGTCAGACTGAAGTTAAAGCTGTGGTACCTGACTTTTTTGATTTATAAATGGTTCAACCGGAGGAGTCTTGCCATATTGGGAACAATGGAGACCACAACATTCTGTCTTCATCTTTTGATAAATCGTCCTATATATTTCATACTTCAGCCCTAAGAGTAACTATTTGACTGTTGGAAAAAGCTCATTTGACAAAAGCTAAACAATCCGTGCATGTTGAGAGCCAAGGGAATTATAGTTTAATCGGTTTTATATGACAGGTTTTTTTGCAGTTTGAATGTGAGGTACCCCAGCCTTAAGGCAACCATACTTGACGTTTTGTTTATTCAAAGTTTATTCTATGTATACCAGTGGGGCAAAAAAGTATTTAGTCAGCCACCAATTGGGCAAGTTCTCCCACTTAAAATAATGACAGAGGTCTGTAATTTTCATCATAGGTACACTTCAACTGTAAGAGACAGAATGTGAAACAAAAAATCCAGGAATTCACATTGTAGGATTTTTTAAGAATTTATTTGTACATTTTAGTGGAAAATAAGTATTTGGTCACTTCAAACAAGGAAGATCTCTGGCTCTCACAGACCTGTAACTTCTTCTTTAAGAGGCTCTTCTGTCCTCCACACCTTATTATTTGAGTTAATAATTTGGCATAACGTTTCCTTCTGGGCCCCTGCATCATCCTCACTTGGAAAGCAGCTGTTCTAAAGCATCTCTGCTCTTTCTGCTCAGTGTTTACTTTGCTTCTGCTTCAGTCATGATTCATAAAAGACGGAGGAGGACAGTCATGTTCGTGATTTCTTAATTTCCCTCTTGACGGCCGGTTATTAAGTTATCATGACTAAAGGCTGAACTGATCCTTATAGTGCACAGTCCCACGTTGAGACAGGAGCCACTGACACTGGCCAGGACCGGGACATATGGAACCGCTTTGGACGCTCAATAAAGGCACCTTTTGAAGGGATTCTTTAGAGCAGGGGTGCTCAATACGTCGATCGCGATCTACCAGTCGATCGCAAAGGTAGTATTGGTAGATCGCATTAAATAAATAAAAAATTACACATTCTAAACTAATATATACAAAAAACTCCGGGCAAAGTGGAGATTTTTGAAAACTCCGTTAATGCATTTGTGAGTAGACAGAGATAACCAGAGTTTTGCGTTCTCGCACGCCACAGTACCCCCCTAAATTCCTCTGATCACTGAAGCATGGATCATACTACCTTAAAAACTGTTCGCTGTGAGATGCTCGCAGCAGCAAACATCCTCGCTCCACATCAGAGAGCAGCAAAGTGATCGCGGGGACTCACGCTCGAAAACAACCAAACCAGGACTAAACCAGGACTAAACCAGGGCTGAGGACGGGGTCAGTGCTTGTAAACATACGTCTTTACTCTGAGTGTCTTCTATGACTGTAAAAGTGCCGTTACCGGCGTCTGCATCAAAGCTCCGCCCACTTCCGTGTTTTTCCCCAACGCAGGACAGGACGTAAGAGACGCACATGTTTGGAATGTTACGAATGTGATTGATAATGCAGATGTGTGGATGCAAATTATTTTATAAACTGAGGAGGGGAAATATTTGGATTTAAAAAAAACAGGCATGGCACATGGACATGGCACCACAGTCAAATGACATCTGTGTTTTACTCAGTAATGTTTTACTGACACTTAGGTGACTGCACATGCGCAAACAACCGCGCTCAGTGCAGGAAAGCTAAACCACGACAAACTTGTCAGCGAGTTACCACCTATTTTCCGGACTATGCATCTCTGGCCGATTCAATTCAGTGAAAGTCATCAGAGTAAACTCGGGTAATGACAAAAAATGTACATAGGTAATTGTGTTGTGTTGTGCTATATTGGCTCATGCGGTTTTGCATGTACATAAACATACATTGTAGATATAAAGAATATTTTTTGAAATAAATATATGATTTGCATTTTTGTAGTAGGTAGATCATTTTGACTTGATCCTTTTATAAGTAGCTCGCATGCTGAAAAAGTGTGAGCACCCCTGCTTTAGAGGATGCACCACTTTCTTCCTTTTTTCCAGGCACCTCAAAGTATCAACTGAAATCATCCGAAATACAGGTTTTCCAATAGTGGGAAAAGAAAGACCTCGGGGGTTCAGGTGCTTCGGAGCCTTGGCGGTTACTTGTATTCATCAGCATCTAGGTGAAAAGACTGGGATTTATATTTTCTATGAATTTTATCTACAAAATTTTAACTTTTGACTGTTGCAAACGCACACTAACCATGAATATAGGCCATGTATATTACATGTTGTTCTGACCGCCCACTCAGCACCCACTTGAAAAAAACAGAAATAAGTTATGCATAAGTATGAGAATACAGCGATACTAATATATGTGTATATATTCACATTAATATGCTAATTGCAGTGAATGCAAATATATGTTATTTTTACTTTGAATATGGTCAATAGTGTCATTTAATATGAATGTTTTCCAATATCAGGATTTGAGTGACACCTGCCAAAGTAGTCATATTTCTGGCTGTCATTTCTGCTGTCCAACATCATTTATATGTTTTTGAATATTGTCACCATTTCTAGACAACTTTAGATAATGATAAAATAATTATACCATAGTTGATATGTGCTGACAAAGAAGATGTAAAACTGTGAAAAATTACAGAGGAGTTCAGATTCCAAGACTAGAAACCCAACCTGTACATGCTGTATGCACTGTGCTGCCTTTATAACCCTGCATAGTCACTGAGCTTTCGTATCATGCAGCAACCCTCCTCCTCCTCATCCCCGCTTCATCAGCCTGACCAGCTCTCTGAGAAATTATGACCATATTTAAAATCATGTCCTACATTTTCAGGAAGACTGTTCCAGATTTAGCTGCTTTAAATCTGACATCTGTAAATCTGTTCTCCATGTTTAGTCCTGACTCTGAGTACAGGTACTGGCCTCCTAAAGGTGCCCAGAATTTGAGTTGGTTCATATGGCACTAACTCTAGGATTTTTGGAATGCTGTTTGGAATGTCACATGAACACTTTTGATAAAGTCGATCCATCTTAGATCAATACTGCGGCACATAGTGAACGCAACGTAAAACATGTGCTTTCGCCTCATATCAAAGCAGCAGAAAAGCAGCATACGTCTCCTTTAAGTGTGCCTCGTGGCTAATGGGCTCCCGCACGGCTCTGACACACACCATTAGCCAGCATTTACACCTTGCAGCTTTACGGGACGGTGAGAGGGAGCAGATTGTCCTGGTTTGTTCATGTGGGGGGGTTGAAGTGGGATCTCCTGAAGCGGATGGGCGGGTGTGCTGGTGAGATAGAAGCACACTTTATTGGATAATTGAGAGGCTTTCAGTAACGAGCCGGCTTCACTGGCCTCTGTTACCCGCACTGCAGATGAACCCATGCTATAAAATTCTTCCACAATTATAAAAGTACAGCTTGTAAACTTGGAGATTTCTGAAAATAATTCTGTACTCAAAAATAGTTATGTCTTTGGCACACATGAACACATTTGCAAAAACAGATATCTCAGTTTGTAGTTGTATACCTGTGGCTACATCATTCAATATGGTTTGTTACTTACACAACATTTGAAAGTATTTGCTCAAGAAGGGGTAAAAATGTATTTGTATGGCACTAAAATAGATCTGACTAAAAAAACTGCGAGGTCAAGGGACAATTGTCTTTCCAGCCTTTCCAATTTTTTTGTTTGAGCAACTTAGCTTTCAAATAGGGGACTTACTGTGTTTTTTATCTTAAAATTGAATGTTTTTTGCGTCTGAGAAACTGGGTTAGCTTCAGCTCCCAGCCCAAAGCAGGGCTCTCTCTCATGTTTTGGTTCGATTTGTTCACATATTTGTTTACAATACTCTTTCCTTTGGGAAAAAAAAAAAAGGTGTAATTTATGGGAAATAAAATTATGCACCCTAGATTTGAATACATTGGAAGTTACTGACATCACAAAGTATGTTTATATGTTAAGCACGGTTCATACACAAGGCAAGTGAAAGTGCTTCAAAAAACAAGAAAAGAACCTTAAAAACGCAGTACATACAAAAAGAGAGTCACAATCCTTCAGTTGTATTCAGGGCTAAACAGAACAGTTAAACCTGGATTTGAACTTTGTCAGAGTAGAAGCCTGTCTCACATTTTCAGGAAGACCTGAAACTGCATAACTTTGTGTATAGTTGCGTAAAAGCGAGAAGATAACCTCTTCACTGTTCTATTTCCAAAAGCCTTCATTTCCTGAGTTAGCACGGCGGCGGGCTGTGGGCTTGATGGATCCCAGGCCCGAGCCACTGCCCCGTTAGCGGCGCTGGGACCCCGGATCGCCCTGGTCGCCTGTCAGCCTGTGTTTGGTCTCCCCAGTTCCACAGTTCAGGGATAAGACGCCAAAAGCCTGTGTTAAAACGCGGAAAAGGCCGGTTAGCGGGGAGTCTGCTCTGTGTCGTGTCCTGCTGATAACTCGACCCAGCTGTTCCGACAAAACACTGCAGGGTTTTACTTTCTACAAGATTTTCTTGTTTAAAGCTGGGGTACCTAATTTAAAAACCACACAAAATAGAACTATCTCATATAATCTATCTAACGAGTTTCTCTGAAAGCAGTTTGGTTCTGTCACTAGTTTTTACAAGTGTATTTTTATATAGCCACATATCACAAAAGCAGTTACCATAATAGTATGTTTACTTGCAGCATTTTAGCATTTAGCATAAACCACAACTGGGCCTTAAAAAAAGAAGAGATGTATTGGAAGATTATTAGTTGAAAAAAAAAAAAAAAATAATAGATATAAATATAACTTATTTTTACACTTCATATTAAGTAAACATTTTAGAACAAATTCAATTATCTGGTTGGTTTCCTGAGAAAAAGTATAACATGCCATAGCAGCCCAATACCATCAATGCTGAAAGTTGCTGGGATAATGTTAATTGAAGATCGATCCAGGGGACACTAAAAATGGTCTCTGGGGTTGGATTTGACCCACGAGGCTGAGTTTGACATGCCTGCCCTAATGTAACCAAACTCTGAGAAACCTAAAAGGTGCAACATTCTTTCACATGATCGCATTTGAAGTGTGCCAAATTCCCATTCCAATCAGATAATTGTAATGCTTGTAAACACCCTGTTACACAAATCTCCTCTATGGGTAAGTGTTGGTCTGAATCCATTTCAGAGCGGTGGTATTTTTGCCTTGGGTCCAGTGTAAGTGTTGTCTGGTAAAGCAGAGGACGGCGATCCACAGGGGGGCGGCCCATTGCCTGTGGACAGCTCTGCTCTAGTGAGATACAGCACTGAGCTTAGTCTACAAAAGGCTGCAAATCCAACTGTCGTAAAGAAATGTGAAATTATGGCGCAAGAGTTCTACTGTGGCATTGTCATTTATTTTGCCCATAAACGCTGTTAGAGACCCACACATGGTTGGAGTTTATTTCTTAGTGGACTATAGGCTCAAAGATTTTCATGGCTGGAAGCAGAAGTGACGAAGATGTACTATATTTAGGGATAGAAATATTCATCGATGCACAGAGGGCAACGACCGGAAGACACAGTACTGTTAGAAAAACCAGCGCTGTGTCCGGATTAAGGTCAATCAGGCAGCGCTATCGTCAAATTAGTTATACTTACCTCTCAAACCACAATAAATACATTTAACCAGTTGTTAGTGACGGTAACAGAATTATTTATCCTCGTTGTGTGAAGGAGAGTCTTTCTTTACTGCTGTTGTCAGACTGTACAATGAGAACTGCTGAGCCTGTTAATGTCATTCATCTGTAAAAGAGGAAATTCTGCAATCATGTGAAATGTGTAATACTGCAACTTCAGAATGTCCAAGGAACTATGTCACTTTATCTACTCATTGTCCTGCCCTATATGTACAGTATAGGGCAGTATTTATTTTGGAAGACTGGTATTGAAGCATTTACAGCAGGGGTGCTCACACTTTTTCAGCATGCAAGCTACTTATAAAATGATCAATCATCAAAATGATCTACCTACTACAAAAATGCAAAACATATATTTATTTCTAAATATTTTTTCTTCTTTATATCTACAATGTATGTTGATGTACATGCAAAACCGCATGATTTATTAAATAATTCGCATTTAAGCACCGCCTCTGGCGGTCATCCAGGATTCATAGATCCGTAGTTTCATTTGTAACTTTCGATCTGTAGCGGCACTTACAGTCATAGTAGAAACTGAGGGTGAAGATGTTATTATAGATCCATGGTGAAGACATATGTTTAAAAGCAATGACCCCAGTCCTCAGCCCTGGTTCGATCCTGGTTTAGCTCCTGTTTTATTTGTTTTGGAGCCTGAGTCCCTGTGATCACTTTGCTGCTCTCTGATGTGGAGCGAGGATCGCTGCTGTGAACCGCTGCAGCAGTGAACAGTTTTTAAGACAGTATGATGCTTCAGCGATCAGAGGTCGCACGTTTTGTTTGTTGTTGTTGTTTTGGGAGCATACTGTGGCGTGCAAAAACGCAAAACTCTGGTTATCTCTGTCCACGCGCAAATGCATAGACGGATTTTTTTTTTTTTTTATGTAATGCAATCTTCCAATACTACCTTGTGCTGCACCTTCAGCTACATTCTGAACCACGTCAGTGTAAAGTTAAGCATTTCTATGGAATTTGGAATGATTTTATATTTTCTAATCATGATATCAGGAATCTCTTGGCCCGCCAAGAGATTTGACACGGCCCGTGGCTCATTTATGTAAAAATATAATAAAGTTACATTTTAAAAAGCCGCTCCGCGACGCGAGGCGACGCGAGGTTCCGCGACGCCGCAGCGCCGCGCTCAGGGGTGAGTCCAGTGCGTCTGTAGTGGCTCCACCAGAGCGGTGCTGAAGGAATAACATCTTAAACTACAAGACTCGGCGAAAAATACGGCACTTTGAGCGAAGAATTGAGAAAACAGAAGATAAACCTGTCTGGCCCTGAAGACACAGCAGTCTGTGCCCAGAGCGAGAGGTTAGTTCTGCTGCTGTAAAGGGAAGCTACCTGTGCTAACAACATTAGCATTAGCATCGCAGCCGCACAGTGAGAGAGTTTGTTAAAACTCTCACAGGCTGCAGACATGGTATGAGAAACCACTCGCTTTTACCAACATGTTGCCATTGATAAGAGACTGATGTTACTGATGTCACATATTCATTTGTGGTGTTACTGAAACTATCAGAGGAGTTTTGAGCGCTGCTGCTGGTGCTGCTGCTGGTTCTGCTGTTGTTGCTGGTGTGTTGGACAGTGTGGACCGGTACCGATGGTAAAAACAGGTGTAGTGACAAAGCTGCAAATGGAGGTGATGATTTTTGGACATTTGACTGTATTTTACACAGAGACACTGCTGCAGTCGTTAAGAATGGATCACGTTATGGAAGTTGTTTTATTCATTTCAACTGAATCATGGTCAGTTTGATGCTTTCTCTGTGATAATAACATAACCATGGACCTTACCACACTGAAGATGGTTAATGTGATAATAACATAACCATGGACCTTACCACACTGAAGATGGTTAATGTGATAATAACATAACCATGGACCGTACCACACTGAAGATGGTTAATGTGATAATAACATAACCATGGACCTGACCGCACTGAAGATGGTTAATGTGATAATAACATAACCATGGACCGTACCACACTGAAGATGGTTAATGTGATAATAACATAACCATGGACCGTACCACACTGAAGATGGTTAATGTGATAATAACATAACCATGGACCTTACCACACTGAAGATGGTTAATGTGATAATAACATAACCATGGACCGTACCACACTGAAGATGGTTAATGTGATAATAACATAACCATGGACCGTACCACACTGAAGATGGTTAATGTGATAATAACATAACCATGGACCTTACCACACTGAAGATGGTTAATGTGATAATAACATAACCATGGACCGTACCACACTGAAGATGGTTAATGTGATAATAACATAACCATGGACCGTACCACACTGAAGATGGTTAATGTGATAATAACATAACCATGGACCTTACCACACTGAAGATGGTTAATGTGATAATAACATAACCATGGACCTTACCACACTGAAGATCGTTAAGCTGAGGTGCTGTGTTTAAGTGCTTTTTTCTATCTACCTACTTTACCTTTGTGAGCAGGTTCTCTCTGTAATGAGCCTTAAAACAAAGCTAACACACAAATATTAATATACATATTGTGAAATACCATTTTCAATGTAATATTGTATTGTACGCTACATTATTTGCACTATGGAAAACTCACTGTTACATTTAAGTTTGTAACAGAAAACTGAGTATTAAAGGATAGTGTTTTAAAGGAAGTTTTAAATAAATGTGTTTATGTGCACAAAAAGTTGGACTTTGTACCGTTTTTGGATATTTTTGTAGAGCATCTCCTGGTCCGGCCCACTTGAGATCAGATTAGGTTGTATGTGGCCCCCGGACCAAAATGAGTTTGACACCCCTGATCTATATGGACAATTCTTGTTGTTGGAGCAAAACTGTCCCCTGAGCACTGTGCTCAGGGGACAGTTTTGCTCCAACTCGCTCTAGCTCCTACTGAGTTACACTGAAAGTCTAAAACTGTTTGTGTCACACTCACCATTTTGGGCTTAAAAATCTCTATGATCCTGGTGTTTATATTGACCCACTCATTACGTTCATATCTTACATGTTTTTAGTGGCTATCCAGGGAAACCGGAGCACCCAGAGGAAACCTACGCAGACCTAGGGCAGCCCGGTGGCATCAGGATTGCACTCTCGCTTCTCAGCAAGAAGGTCCTGCTGGACCCAAGGTCGGAACAGGGCCTTTCTTAGTGGAGCTTGCATGTTCTCCCTGTGTTTGCCAAAGTTTCTTCCGGGTGATCGAGTTTCCCCTACCACTAAAAACATCATCAATAGGTCTGGCATCCATCTCCTGTACTGGCGACCTCTCTCCCAAACTCAAAATTGTTCACCTTACTCAGATTTTTGCATGACAATAAAATTGCCAGTTGGAACTGAAACTGTCTGTTGTGAGCCACTTGAACTCACTTTCAGAAGTTTCTGATGAAAAGTTCATCTTATTTGATATATTAAGTTGATTTTACTTTGAAGTTATAGTGAACTTCTGAAAGTGAGTTCAAGTGGCTCACAACAGACAGTTCCAGTTCCAACTGGCAATTTTATTGTCAGTGAATGCAAAAAACTGAGTAAGGTGAACAATTTTGAGTTGTTGTTTTTACAGTTCACCGAGCTAGAGTGAGGTCAACTTATCTGCGTTTGCTCATTTAAATATTTGTCATGGCAACCAGCTGCATTCAACATTTTGAAAAAACTAATTTGACCAAAAAAATCATTGTATTTATTTTTACCAACCGTAACCGACAGGGCC